AGTTTGGTCACAGCTCAGCTCCACAGATGCTCCCGAGGCTCCCCCCCTGCCCAGAGCATCACGCAGTGCCCCCGCTCCGGCTGCCCCAGCACAAGCTCCCCCTTCCCTGCTACAAAAACTGGGGCACGAGCAGCCAGGGAGCTCTTGCTGCCGAGCTGCTTTGCTTCTGCCCACTGACATTAGCTCCCGTAATGTTATTTGAAAATCGAGCTCTCTTGAGGTCCTCATGCTGTTCTGGGAATTGGCACACTGGCGCTTCACCTTGAAAGCCTAATGCCGTTTCTTTCCCCCACTGTTCCTCTGAATTCCCATCTAGGTACTATATTTTCTGTTAGCTGCACTTACCCTGCTCTCATCCCTCGACAAACCGCTGCTGAAGAAAACTCTACCACTAGACTAATGTTTCTGAATGCTTTAAAGTACAACTCTGCTTCCCAGCATGTATCTCTCTTTAGACTTTAAGGATCCTGCCCCTCCCTGCTCATCCCCCTTCTCTTTAAGGAATCACTACTTTTCAGAAAAGCGTGTATCACCAAATTATGGTTTTTTTGCAGATAATGAACGTGGAGGAGAAGTCCCTCACCAAATCTGAAGTTGTGCATCGTGCAGAATGCACTGTGCCTGTTGACAAATCAAGGGACTGCGGTGTGCCTCTCTACAATTGAACTTTTAAATAGAAAAATACCTGTTTGTTTAAAAAGAAAGGTGAACAATTCATGTGATTAGTAATCACAGACTGGGAAATTTCTTAAATGCAGGAAAACAACAGAGCGACTTCCTATCGGTCCCACGGACAGGGCTGTTGGTGTATTTGATTCAAAACCTCATGGGGTGAAACCCCCCGACCCTACTGACCCCCGTGCAGTCTGAAATGGCACAGGCTGCTTTGCACAGCGGGGAGGCAGCGTGATGTGTCTGGGACAAACAATGCTGATCTTACAGCAAGTAAAAATGCTATTTTCAGCCTTAAACTCTAAACCATAAACTCCGGTCTCTAAAGAGTTTGAATGGTCAGGTCTGTAAATTTAAACCAGCCCTCAGACGAGGTACCTGTGTGAAGCCACTGCTAATAAGAGGCTATCTGAGACTTATTTTTGAAAAAAAGAAGCCCTGAGAAAATTACCACTTTTAACAGAAACTTTGTCAAATGGAAGCAAATTTCACTATTATGCACTAAGTATCTTGGCTGCAAATGAACCGCATCCGCATCAAGCTGTGAATATGAAATTAATCTAAGGCATAACCTTTAGATCTACACTTTGACAATATTTTAGTGCCGAGCTATAAATATTTGATCTGTTACTCTTCTGAGTAAAATGGATTTGTTGTGCTCGTCTGCAGAGTTATCAATTATTCCAAAGTATATTTATTGATGATTAAATGACTTGAAAAGTGCTTTTTTCTTCTGATGTTATTATATCTAGCGAGTAAACATGGAAATGAACTATCTCTAGCATCAATATTAACCCTTTATCTTGGGAAGAAAACATTTCCTGCCTGATGACACATAGAACTAAGTATCAACCAAGATATTTACAGTACGTGCTGGATTCTAGTTAATTATGTATGAATATATTTCTTTATGTTTTGGGGTCACACTTAGTGCTAAGATTCAGCTTCCATCTGCAATCACTAGAGAAATAAAACAGCATCCTTAAGTCATCAGCAAAGAATGATTCAATCTATTGAAAGAATATTATAAAAACCTCCTTGCACTGCGAAATAAATGAATCTAAACCCATGACTCACATACAGTGGCCGGATGGTTTTTCAGAGCGATGATGAGTTGAAAACAGGCTTTGGTGAATAGTTTGGATATCAGCTTTTTAGCAATTCTTTGTTCTGCTTGCTGGAAGTGCAGACATCGAGAAAGCAGGAGTATCTTGTGCAATGATATCGAAATGGCACAGAGTGGGGGTTTGGGGCATTTTGCCCCCGTGTAAAGACCTGGCACACCACTGGCAAACCGTGTTACAGACAGAGCTGCAGCTTGCAGGACGTGACACAGAATGGCTGCTCAGACCCGTTATCCGGCGTGCCACGGAGCGAGAGCAAGAGGCAGAAGTTAAGGAAACCCAACCTTTGCCGAAGGCCGCCTCGGCAGCGTGCCAGAAGAGGGGGTCTGGGTTGGTTTGGGTCACTGTATGGTTGCATGTAGAGGACAGGGCTGGATCTGGCCTCCCAGCCTGCACTGGAAGGATTGATAACCTTACATGGTTTTTGTTCCAAAGTAACTTCCTGGATCTGGTTTACAATTGAGGACTCAGTGAGAGCGCGAAATCAGACTGATACGAGCTTTCACTGCTGATGGAAGTTCAGCTGCACCGTGAAGTGACACGCAACCTTCAACGGTTTCCCCCTTCCGACACTGATTATAATAAATACCATTGGAGAAGCAGAAAATGCCCCAGCTGCTGAGCTGCCAGCAGTGCTGCCTGCCTGCAGCACCCTGGAAAAGAGCCAGCGCTTCCTTTCACCGGGAACATCGCACACGCTGCTGGTGGGAAAACCACACTGGTAGGAACACACGTTGCAGGATCAGGTCCTGGGCGCTCCTGGACCTGTAGGCACCGGTGTCACCAATCTGCTCCTACCCACACAACCGAAATCTGACAGTAAAAACTCCTGTTCAGCCCAGTCGCTTTGTCACCATGTTCCTTGTGATGAGTAATGTCACTTTTAAGCCTAATTATGCAGGTATATTTATTATCCTATGCTTGGCCATAGCGCTGGGGTACTTGCGTAATTTCACAGACGAGTGACACTTAAGACAGCACATTACTGTCAGCAGCCTCCATCTCATTTCATGCTAATTGCTCTCCAAAATTGTGTGATGCAGTTTTGACACAAAAACATTTTCAACAGTATCATTAATTCAGGGGGGCAGGGGAGGTGTGGGGGGAACATTTCCTGAAGTAATTACAGCCAACATCCTCAGTCATTCCTAATTATTTAATACAGCCCCACCCAAACACACTTTAATGCTGATTACCAGAAAGACATGTATTATCTACTCTACTTTGAAGTATGATAAATGGATTCTGTTTAGGAGAAAGTAAATATTACCTGTTGTAGCCAGTGATCCAAAACGTTGAAATACTTCATTTATCCATTTTCCAAAATGCTTATCAAACCTATTATTTAATTTATTCTACGGCACAGCTGTTGTTAAATGTTGCTGGTGTTGGACTAGATAACATCATAATACATTTTAATGAACTCACTGTGTTTTATAGGCTCCTTTGTTCTAAAATCGTCATTTATGCCTCAAAGAAAATGAAGAGCATCTTTTAACTCAAATGACAAGGAATTCAGTGAAAAGAGAGCAGATCCTAATATAAGGATGCCGCTCACCCAATCTTCCAGCTAGCCATGATGCGCACAATTAGATCCTAGGAATTCACTGTACATTTTAATGTAGAATTTAATGTGGTTGGTCTCCATTCTCCCTCCAAGAAAATGTAGTTTATTTTGAGATGTTTTGTCTTTAAGGATTATCATATTATGCCAATGAGTAACCTGAGCATTGACCTGCTTCACTGAGGCATGGTGTGTCCTGGAATAATTTTTCAATCATCCTCTAATACCAGCTCTGCAGGTCACGGGAGACACCCATGAAAAATCAGGCTGTTTTGTCATTTCTGGGACAGATGGCAGTGCCTGACTCAGGGGACAGGACTCCAGGAATGTTTGCTAAGCAGAGTGACGTGCTGCTCATCTGGTGACACACAGGATGATGTGGCAGAACAAGCATCTCATGCCAAAGGCTTGGGGTTCCTTGAGACTTTTTGGGCGGATCTAGGAGCAAAACTTCCATGTTTGTCAGAGATCTGCTCTGCTTTTTCACACGTGGAAAGTGACCCCACATCGGTCTTTTAGAGGGAATTTGGGAGAAAAAAAGGCAAGAGACCCTAAAGTTTGAAAAACTGTTTATGTGTCTTCCTCTGTGCTATCCCCAAAGAAGCTTTTGTTTGTTCACTCTACTTCCATAGGAACATGGCTGCTGAGCTCCTGTTGATGCTGTTCTCCGTGCTCCTGGAGCACCCTCTTCTGTTTAAGCAGCTGCAATTCTCATTTCAGCTCCAGCAACACACAGACCAAATACGAAACCAGCCCTCGAAACACCTGCAGGAATATACACTTCTTTAGCAACCAACCAGGCATATCAATGATTAACTCTGGTTCACCTTAACTTGCTTTGAAACCCAGGACATGCTCAGATACTGAATGTGTGAACCTGTAGCACGAAGATTTCTCTAACAAACTCTGCTCTTAACGTACCAATGGAGCCGCTTCGGGGTACTGTTCTGATGGATGCGATATCCTATTTTCCACAGTGTTTCAAGTACCCTTTTTAACAGATTTTTTTTGTTGTTGTTGCAATCACACCTCGCTCACACAGGCTACCAGGCACCTGGGTTATAAAAACAGATCAAGAAGCAGAGCTGCAGGTCCGATGCACCCACCGTGGGGGTGTCAGCCCTGGCAAAACCCCACAGAAATCACCGTCCCACTTGCTGGGAAGTCACCCGGCTGCCACCCTGGCAGGACACCGACCCCAGCACGCATGTTGTGGCCAAAACACCTTGCGCAGGGGAGAAGCTGTGTCGCCTCACAGCTCCCCACCCAAGGCAGCACCCAGGGGTGCCAGTAACGGGCCTGGGTCCCCATTCTCCCCACAGCCAGGGCTGCTGGGGCAGGGGGCTGGGGTCCCCAGTCACTCCGCTGCCAGAGGCTCCAGCTCCTCAGGGGAAAGCCCTGAGGGGACACAACGCAGGCAGCAGCCTCCCAGCCCCCTTCAGCAGCCACCGGGCGAGGGGTCGCCAAATGGCTCCCACAGGCCGCCACTCTCTCAGGGCCGACCAGAGAGCGGCAGCTAGAGGGACCCCGCCGCGGAGGCGCTCCGGGCAGTACTTCTCTATGGTCAGAGGCCTGACAGAGCGCTGCGGGCGCTGGAGGACGTCAGTAGGAGTGGCGTGCTAGCGGCCGTGAGCGTGAGTGAGTCGCCACTCTAGGCGGAGACTCGATGGTCAGCCAGCCCGGCGCCCAGCCGGGGATCCGCGGATCTCTATGGTGGGGGAGCCGGGGCAGAGCGCCGTGCTCCGTGCCCGGCGGCGCTCTAGGCCGCCTCTCGATGGTGCGGGCGGTTGCTAGGCGGTGCGGGGCCTAGGCCGCGGCGGGTCGGCGCCGCCATGGCCGCGGCGGGCCCGGCGGAGGGGCCGTGCGTGTTGTGCTGCGGGGAGCTGGAGGTGGTGGCGCTGGGCCGCTGCGACCATCCCATCTGCTACCGGTGCTCGGTGCGGATGCGGGCGCTGTGCGGCGTGCGGTACTGCGCGGTGTGCCGGGAGGAGCTGGGCCAGGTGAGGCCGGGGCCCGCGCAGCCGGCGGGGCCGAGCTGCTTCCCTCCAATTCCCCGCCCGGTACCGGGCTCTGTCAGTGTCCCGCCGGGCTGGGCTCGGGCCGGCTGCCGTGGGGAGGGCGGGGGGGAGGCCTCGGGCTGGGCTGGGGCCGGAGTCGGGCCGCGGAGCGACTGGTGAAATCTGCTGAGTGGAGCCGTGGGGGAGGAAACATCCCCCCGCCGGGAGCTTTCCGCGTTTATCTACCGTCTGCCTCGCTCCCGGGGCTGCGGCCGCCGTTCAGAGGAGGCGGGAGGCATCTTGGAAACAAAATATGAGGGAAATAGAATTTAAAAGGAGGTTTTTTGTTTTTTTTTTTTTTTTTTAAATTAACAGGGCTTGCTCTCTGGAGTTGATATTACGTGATCTCAGAGGACTCTGTCATCCTGCCGAATTCCTGACTTAAGTTTAAGCTCGGGGGGAGAACATATTTTGTATTCTTTCAGGGCTTGCTCATGCCTTGCGTTACAGCACCCTGTGCTGCATTTGCCTTCAGCTCCAGTTAGCATGAGCTGTCGCTTGGGCTTAGGCTTGAAAAGCCATTTTCTCCCCAGTTACAATTATTCTGCTAGATTTCTGCTTTCCTCCCAGGCTGCTGGAGTGATAGTGCCGGGCCCTGTGGTGGAGCTGGGGGGAAGTCGCCCCGATACAGGGCTCAGCTGTGCGGGGCAGCTGAGGATGCGGTGAACCACTTGAAGAAAAGTTATTTGAGGGTGTTTGTAAAAACAAATCCTTGTATGTCAATTTGTTTTTGCAGAACCAATGCAGAAAAAACCCAAACCCTTTGAGAAGAGAATTGGTGCTAGCACTGAATGAAATATGCTGAGGTCATTTAGGGAATAAATATTTTGGGGGAAGGCGCTCACCCCTTGGCCAAAGGAGAGTCCCCCAACTAAACTGTTGGTGTTGGCTGCTCTTCATGGTGTTCAAATGGAAGGTTTTTAGGCTGTGTGCTGAAGATCCTCAGGCTTTGTGGAGGCCAGAAAGGTTGATTAGATTTTTAGACAGAGTTTACTGGCAGAGGAGTAGCCTCTGTGTACACGAAGAAACTGTAAGTAATTTTATCTCTGATCATCCTCTGAGCAGCTGCTGCTCTGCTTCTCCCGTCGTAGGAAGAAGCCAGATGTGATGTTGCTCTTCATCCTTAAACCTGCTTGTCTTTGGGTCACAGGTGGACTGTTACATCCCAGGAGCTTTTCAACTTTGTAATATTGCTATATTATTGTGGCCTGAACTTTGCTTCACTCAGCCGTCTCTCTCCCTCCTTTACGAACTGTTTAAACGATCCTTTTATTATAATTGTCTGAGAGGTCATTTTTAATGGCTGTGCTCTTTTTTTCCCCCGTTGTCTTTAAGTGCCATTATAATACTGTTCTGTCTGTTCACCCATCTGTCCCAAGGAAAGAAAAAAAAGATACTGTGGGGGTGTAGATCACATCAAAAGTGCTGTTGAATGACCTGAACGTATATGTAGGACCTAAAACCGTGTCTCTTAATTTGCATAGCGTGTGGAATTAGCACGGGCCAGTACGACACTACCAAATCTCAGCCAGTGTCGTACAGAGTAGCATAAACCAGACTGGTAAATGTCACAGCAGAATGTCTGAAGGAAATATAACTGCAAAGATGAGTGACGGAGGAGAAAGCAGGATCAACCTGTTATGGTAATATGTGCTTTCAGTGGAGCATAATTGTTGCAGTGAAGTTAGGAAGGATTTCTTGTTGACCTGTAAACTATCCCTGACGTATACTTGGATCAGGCTCGGAGGATCTGTCAGTGTGCTTGTTATATATGAGTGTCTGCAATTGTTCTTGGAACTGCTGTAGGAAATTGCATTGGACTCCTGTGATAAAATCTACTTTTCAACAATCCGTTCCTCTCTTCTAAAACTCACTTTGGGCCAAAATGAAATGTCAGTAAAACTTCACCAAAACTAAATTTTGTAAAGAATTGGAGTTAGATATGGTTGTCATTTATCCAACAATTTTAAACTTGTATTCTCTTTATTTTAAACTTAATATTTCAGCAAGCTGGGTGTTTTTGTTTTAGTTAACAGTAGCCCCACTGTAAAGAAAGTCTTAAAAGGCCCCACAAAACCAGACACAAAAGACTCGTTCCGTGGTATTTTACCCCAATGAGAGTAGAAGAATGATTTTAAAAGACCACACTACATGCCTGTTAGATAATTGAATGCTCTTATTAAGGTTGTGAGCATTTCTAGATTTACAGTGGTTACTGTAAGAACTGAAAGGCGCTTACTGTGTTTGTGTCTCAGCCTGTCTGGGCTGGTGCAGGTTACTCTAGCTGTTTCATAAATGTTGCAGCTACCCCAGCAGTTCCCAAACTGGGAACCTGTGCTGGAGCAGACCAGTGGTAGGTGGCTTCTGAAGAAGGATGTAATATTGTAAACGGCTGGAGTGTGAGGCCCAGGCTGCTCGGAGGCTCAGCGGGAGCAACTGTGAGCAGGCAGGTCCCCTTAGAAGGGGAATGTGGTACAAATAATTTGGGAAGTGATGTAGTGGTTTGTTTCTTGCTTTCCTGGTAGTTAAGGAAAGAAAAACGGTGGTTTCCCAGTCAGACTCTGAGTAATGTCACTTTTCTCTTACAGCCTGTAGGTTTGTGTGTGATCTACCAGGAGATAGGAGGGAGTGCAGTGCAGGGCTCTTGATGGGCATTCGCTGCAGAAGGGGTTGAATTGGTTGAAGATATTTACTCTTAGCACAGCTGTGGTAGCAAAACATACCATAAAAGAGTTTCCTAATCTAGTTCAAAATCCAAAGACCAGGCTAGTCCAATCCACCTTCGTCTAATCTGGCTCACTTGCTGGAAGTTGATAAGGAGCAGTCACGGTGGCTTTGCTGGCAGTTGTGGGGGCAGTAACCGGGGGTGGCGGTGAGCAGCTGGGACTGACACAAAGCTCTGCAAGTGTTGTCCAGGCTTCAGGCTGTGGCAGGTTCCCTGACAAACAGAGTTTGTGCTGAGGGGTTTATCTGGGATCCCAAAGACTCTGCAGCCTGAGCGTGCTCTTGCTGATTCTTGTGTTGCCTGCAGGTTGTCTTCGGGCGGAAGCTTACGTCCTTCTCAACAATAGCACTTAACCAGTTGCAGCATGAGAAGAAATACGACATTTATTTTATGGATGGAGATGTTTATGCACTGTACAGGTAAGTACTGGGATCCTTTCTGTAATGTCTCCCTAAAGCAGCATATTCTTATCCACATTACGTGGCAGGAAGTGCATGCTTTAGTGGAACAGTGTGGTTTTGTGTCATGGGAATAGAGTGGCTGCCGTGCTGCGTCCGTGAGTCACCGTGCAGTGCAGGTGGCTCTGGTAGGGTGAGAGGCTGGAGCGGCGCAGTTGGCAAAGGGAGCAGCTCCTCAAGGCTGGAGTGTTGGATTCACCGACGTGGAATACAGAAGTTGATCTGCCAAGAAAAGTTGCTTCTTGTTTCTTTAGCCGCAGCAAACTTGCTGGAATGCTTTTCATTCCTTGCATGGCTGCTGTGGAAGTTGGTGAAGACTGAATTACTATTATGATTGTGTTTATTGCTGTGCTGCATAAGGACTGATCAAAACCAGTTGTACTAAACATTGTATGAAAAGAGCAACCGTGTCTGCTTACAAAGATTTTAATTCTAAATGGGAGAGGAAAAGGGTGAAATAAAAAACCAATGCAAAAAAAATGTGGCATCAACATCATGTTAAAAAATATATTTTTAGAACATGCTTAATTGGGAGGCTTTAAGATAATTAAAAGCAGTTAAAAGGAAAGAAGAGTGAAAAAAGATGAAACCATACAGGCAGCGGTACCTTTTTCTTGGAGAATTGTGCGTTATATCTGACCTGATTTGGACTGAGAACGTATGTAGCTTTGCTGATAAATTTACAGTTTTTCATGACTTCATATTTATGGAATTGGGCAACGGGTTTAGTGAACAGAATCACTTGGAAGAACATTCTGATTAATTATACACCAGCTCTGGGAATTGCTTTTGATGATACAGTTTCTGGTGAGATTACCGTTCCGTGGTCAACAATCAAGTGCAAGGCAGTGGATTTTCCCGCTGAGACCAGTGCTCTGTCTTCAGCTCTTGTTGGGAATCATTGTGGGGTTTTTGTTTGGTTATTTTTTTTCCCTTTTCTATTACAATTCTTTATCTCTCCCTACTGTATTCCTCAGTTTCTGACAGTAGAAAGTGTAATTAAATTGGATGTGAATATTGCATATATCAGCTGGATCTTCAATAAGCAAGGATTTTGTTGCATGGATGTGTTACAGTCCACTCAGTTTTACAGTGGCAATGTATTACTTACACTGTGACTGTTCAGCTCTTTGCTTAAAGTTGAAGCCTCTGTGTAATTTGGTTCTGTTTTGTTCCTGACATAAGACAAAGTATTCTTGGAATAAGCAGGACGCTAACCTCGTTACAGATTGCTGGGGGAGCTATAAAAATGCAGCCTTCTGCCACTGATGGAACATTTGTTTTTTCGATAAAGGTATCGGGTTGCTGAGAGGGAATCAGATAATCCTTAGGAAATCTTTCTCGTCCCTTAGGAAGCTGCTGCAGCATGAATGCTCTTTGTGTCCAGATGTGAAGCCTTTCAACACCTTTGCAGATCTGGAACAGCACATGAGGAAGCAGCATGAACTCTTCTGTTGCAAACTCTGTGTTAAACACTTAAAGGTGAGCTAGTTCTGTGTGTTAATGGGTGGGAAGGAAGGGCGCTTCCCTGCGTGACCCCCAAGAGTACCTGGGGAGGTGGGAGAAAGGGGGTGGCTGAACAGCACCGATTTATTTTCTAGGTTTCCTCTGTCGGCCTACCATGAGGCCAGTTGTGTTAAGTCTTTCTTCTTCATGAACTGTTTAATGAAGATGGCCCGGAGGTTCTCAATGGATTATATTTTAAATTAAACCCAACCATATTAGTAACCTCCTGATGTTAGCTCCTCTGCCACAACATGGGTACATACCAATCCCTGAATGTCTGATAGTTAATCCCGAATCGTACAGAGACTTTGTCACAACTGTAACGGCAGAAATTTGATGTGTATTAAGATTTCTACTTGTAATGACTTTACAAGCTAAAACTGTAACTTATAAAAACACTGGGTTTCAGTTCAGAAAGCATCACGGAGTGATGGATTTATTTCTCCGATCAGAGTCAGCATAGCATTTACAGTTGGATCACGTACAGGATGGGGATCCATCTTGCTGGTTTAATGAGATACAATTATATTTCATTATCTTGTTTATTTGTTCAGAGCAAATTTCCTGTATCTTGTTGATTTGGTTGTAAAATGAAACACACTGTTGCGTGCAATTGAGGTCCGCTGTGTTTGATGTACACAAGTAGAACGTGACCAGGAACTGTTTTAAAAAGTATTTTACGACCTGCTAAAGATAAAACTGTTACTGGAAAGCTGAGATGTCTGAAAAAAGAAAGAGGTGAGGTCTGAAAAGCCTTAAAACTACTCATCTTACCACCACCATCATTGTCCTTTTTTATTTTTTTAATTCCACCCAAATTTCACTGGAAAGTGCTGGTGTTATGTCGGTCAGGAGGTGCTTTTTCACAGTTTGAAAGTCAGAATTCCGCCTTTCCCTGGAGCTAGCGTGATTTTTGTATTTCTGCATTACACATCAGACAAAATCAGCAGCTACTGTTCAGTGAATTCTAGGACTGGGAACCTCAGTGTCTAATAGTTGTCAGCATTCCTTATTGTTGTAGGAGGGAATTTAATGCATGAAAGCATATTTTTAGAACTCATTACACATGGTTTTGTATGTGTGTGTGTTTTCTCTGAAACCAGTTAAATGTCAAATCGGAGAAATGCATTTATCCACGGTTGGTTTATGCCAACTGAACTGTAGTTTACTGCCGAAAGGGACAGGAACCAGAAGTGATCAGGCTGACCTGAATGAACACGAATACGTTGGGTTTGGGGTTTTTTTTTCAGGGTTAACTTTCAGTGAACTGATTTGGCTTGCTTTCCTGTGGCCATGCAGTCGCTAGAGCTAATTCAAGGGAAGTGGTCAGGGGAGGGCAGGAGCGCTTCTTTCGCTTGCAGTGTCCCTTGAGCTCTGGTGGAGAGGTGTTTCCACGGTCAGCTTAAGTAACCAGCACTAAGGGAACTTGTTTGTCATCGTCTGTCCCAGAGAATTCACAAACAATATTCCAACTTGCCGGCTTTTTATTTCAGAATATTGCAGAGGCTTTTATTTTGCAGAAAAAAGTTCCATATTACCAGTATCCACTGAAAAGAAATTCCTAAACTTGCAGAAGCTTCAGTTCATCAGCCTAGCTAAACCAAAGGAACCTTTTCCCAGAACAAGTTAACCGACCTTGTTGAGGCGAGAAATAAAGGATATTCTGTTCTCAAGGCTGTGTTGATCTTTTTGGCATCTTCAGAACCCTTCAAACCAAAATAGCTTGCATGTTAGTAGGGACAGAAGATTGGCTTATAACACAGAATTTGTTCACGGAACAGTCCTTCGTTTGAAGTTACCCTGGGGTAGTTGCTATCTGAGGAAAGTAAAGCAGCTCACTTCTGGTTTATGGATTTTTTTTTTTTTAATTTGAGTATGCAAAATACCGTATGTTCATAAATACATATTTAGGATTTCCCTCCACCCCCCGAAATTATAATTTAAAGTTTGTTGGATTATGTTAATACACACACACGAAAAAAGTGAAAGGCAAACAGGCGGATTAGATCTGTTTCCCATGTTCAAAGTGAGTGAAATGCAAGTTAGATTTAATTTGGATCTCTCACTTGAATTTTGTTTCCTATTCACTGAAAGTTTTAGGTGTTGGTTGTCGAATTGCATTTTTCTGAAGCAAATCTTCTACTCCCACAAATGAACAAGTTGCGCACAGCCCATTTTATTCCCTTTTGTTCTCTGTTCACAAGAAGTAATACATGTGCATATATATGTATCTCTTCAGATTTTTACTTACGAACGGAAATGGTATTCTCGTAAGGACCTTGCCCGTCATCGAATCCATGGAGATCCAGATGACACCTCTCATCGTGGGCATCCCCTGTGTAAATTTTGCGACGAGCGTTACTTGGATAACGATGAGTTACTGAAACACCTAAGGCGAGATCATTATTTCTGTCATTTCTGTGACTCTGATGGCGCTCAGGAATACTACAGGTTTGTGCAGGCAGTTTGTTCTTCTTTCTGTAGCTTAAATTTTGAGGAAAAATTGTTTGGGTCTGCTTTGAGTTTTGAGGAAAGTAGTGCTCGAAGACAGAGTGCAAGAATGTGAACAGCTTGGCTGCAGTCTCTTTTTTTCCTCAAACCGATAGCCAAAGTAATCGCTTTCTGTCTAGTCCATGTTTTAAAGTTTTCTTCATTAACGTTCAACGTTGAAAGTTACGTTTTGCAGCGTGACAGCAGATGTCTGCAGCTGTCCAGTGTGTCAACTCGAATGCTCCAAAGTTCGTGCGCAGATAGAAGTGAATTTTCTTTTGTGCAATACATGCCTCGTACAGCTGGATGTGAGGAGTATCAGCCAGTAGGTTTAGTTTAACATCTGGGATTATGTGTTACGCTCTGTGGCGCCTGTACACAAGTGGTTTCAGCTGGAAAGCTTACCTGGGGATAAAGAAAGAACCAGCCACTTAGGCTTGGCTTTGCTTCGTCTTGTAAGGGTAGCCATATACCATTAGTAAAACACGTTGGGAAGGTTGCAGCTCAGCCTCTTTTCTCTTTCCAGTGATTACGAGTACCTTCGTGAGCACTTCCGTGAAAAGCACTTCCTTTGTGAAGAGGGACGGTGCAGCACGGAACAGTTTACTCACGCTTTCCGCACAGAAATAGATTACAAAGCGCACAAAACAGCCTGCCACAGCAAGAGCAGGGCAGAGGCCAGGCAGAACCGGCAGATAGACCTTCAGTTTAACTATGCTCCTAGGCACCAGAGGAGGAACGAGGGTAAGCATGGCCGGGGGACAAGGTGGACAGAAACGTGTTCATTCTTACTGCTTTGAGGGTTTTCAGGAACATGTGGTGAACGTTTCCTAGCCAGGAAGAAATTCTTTACAAAGCGGGTGGGCAAGCCCTGGAACAGGACCCTGAGTGGTTGTAGTGTTTGTCCTTGAAGATAACCAGAACTTGACCTGACAGGGCCTTGGGCAACCAAACGTAGTTTGAGTTGGCCTTGCTTTGAGTGAGGGGATGGAGCAGATGGCATCCAGAGATCTCTTCCTACCTAAATTGTTTTACAATTTTTTTCCCCCGTGTATGGATTTAATGATGATAACATAATTTTATGAAAATTGCTGACTTTCTTCTCCGATTTGTAATTATGTGAGTGACTTCTATTACAGTTAATACAAAGTAGTGATGAACATGGAGCGTGAGACCAGAGTAGCGTGTCCGCTTAAGAGTGTAGAGATCGACTTACATATGAACTTTTCTTCCGTGTGGAGCTGTATGTAGAGAGATCTCTGCATAAAAACAGAACTAAAAACTCTCATGTGAGGTTACAATACATGGAATCCATATACTGTAAAATGTATTTTAATGTAGCGGTCCTGAAGATCATATAGACAACTTAATCATCGGAAAGAAATCAAGGTAGATTTGTTTGTACTAGTATGTTTTTGCTTTTTTCAGATTAGAGAAATAGCTTTGAGAGTGATCACCCATCCCTCCTGTTTAGGTGTTATAGGTGGAGAGGACTATGAAGAAGTTGACAGGTATAACAGGCAAGGGAGGTCGGGCAGATTGGGCAGCCGAGGAAGTCAGCAAAACAGAAGAGGCAGCTGGAGGTATAAGAGGTGAGTCGCACATTTGGTGGCTTTTTATTGCTGCTTAGTGTTGTTTTTTACTTACCTATTAACAGTGGTTTTGTAGACCAGTAGGACAGAAGTGGGTACAAAATTTGGAAGCCTCCATGGCAAATCCTTAGTTGAGAGTAGAACTAGCTTTCAGTCTAAGCCTGCGTGCTGACTGCACGCTTGATCAAAGTAAAATTATTTTGTGTGAAGTTTGAGCTCTCCGGACTTGACGCAGCAAGCAATTAATGTGATCTTCAACTTGTGGGTTAAATAGACTCGGAATCCTAAATAAATTTCAGCAACTGTTTTTGTGCTAACTTTTCTAAGTAGGATTTTCTGCCGTAGGTGACAAGTGTTGGCAGGTTTAATGGACTTTTTGGTCTGGGTAATCATGAAGTTCCTATTCTAAGGATCATGCTTTTCATTGAACTAACAGATCTCTGTGTGGCCAGACTGAGTGCTTTGGAAAAAGAAGAGGGTTAAGTATTGAAATGAAATTTTGCATTTATATGTCTTTTCATCCACACGAGACCTGAGCGCTTTATACATACTGCACATCTATTTTTCTTCTTTTTTTCTTGCTGGACGGTCAGCTGGTTCATTACTGGTGATTTCACTGGGGGAAAAAGTCCATCTCCAAACACTTCTCTGTTGGTGTCGCATGTGGACCGTGCATGTGTTGAGAGTTCATGACAAGCCATATTTCAAAGAATTACTGTGGTCTACGAGTATGATTTCATACGTTTGAAAATGGATGGGAGAGACAGGTGTCCCCATGCATCCTTGGTACTTGTTCACCCAGTTCACCCCGGTTTCTTCTGGCCTGGATTGTTACCACCACATGTAGAACTGGCAGATGCAGGGGGTGTGAATGTTGCCTGTCTCACCAGCTGGCACCAGGGTGTTTTGGAGTGGTGGCTTGGTTGTAGCCTTCTCGGCAGGTGGCAGCACAAGGTCGGGGACGGCCATCGGAGTGACAGCGCAGAGGTGAGAGCTGGAGCGAGGCAAAGCTGCTCTGTAATCCTTGCTGTTTGACCAAGAAAATCTGCCCTGTCCTGTAGGGAAGAAGAAGACAGAGATGTTGCAGCAGCAGTCAGGGCGTCTGTAGCAGCTAAACGGCAAGAAGAGAAAAAACGGGTGGAAGACAAAGAGGACAGCAGCAGTAGAGGTAAAAAGGAAGACTTGAGGGATTCTGAAGTGCTCAGCTCCAAACGTCTGCCAAAGTCGACAAATGATGCTACAGGTTAGTGTTGAACGTGTTCTGCAGCAGCGGGGACGCATGATGGGTCTGGAGAGCAGCCTGGCAAGGGTGGGGATTGCCGTGCATTGTTCTCAAAAGCTGGTGGACGTGGGTAGAGCTGTGCAGGATCCTAATCCAGCAACACGGATTTGCAGTGAAATGTGTCCGAGTGGGCTGGGGTTCCTGCAGCAGGTTCTGCCTGAGATGGAGCTGGGTAGAAATACCAAATGCAATTAACGTGTGATGTTCCATCCAAATCAGTACAGTCTAAGAATGTGCCATTTCCTACTCTGGCATGCAAGAACTGATTTATTGTGATGCTTGAGCTGAGTTTCCCCTTTTTTCAGAACCTGTTCCTCCCAGTAGAAGTTTATAACTGATGAAAGCAAACCTTTATTTTGTCCCAGGTCCATTTTGGGGCAATTAAATACAATGCAGTGGCGTTTCGATATCACTGTTGGTTCAAATCCATCTTCCACTGTTTTATTGCTCCTACAACAGGATTTCCCCTTAAAGATTATACGCTCTCATTATGAGCTGAGAGCTGCTGAGAGCTCTGTTTGGTTAATGGGAACAGCTCAGCTGGGGATGACAGGCAAGGTTCTCTCCCCCAGCTGCCTGCCCAGCTTTTGCTGCATGGATGTCAAAGCTGTTATCGGTCTGTCCCTGAACTCCTGCAGCCCGTGACAACAGAGGGTTTGGGTTTTAAGGCAAATCTAAATTAGGAATGAGTTATGTTTCAATGTAAAATGGCTGCCCAGGAAGTAATTGCTGAGCAGCTTGGGCATCTGTGCAGCAGAGGTGTGGTGAACAGCTCAGAGGAGCAGCTTTCCAAACGAAGAGGCGATGGCATGCATCAGTTAAAGCACTGAGGCTCTGGTGAAGACCCTGACCCTGTGCAGGCAGTTGAGTGCTAACCTCTGGTCGAAGCCTGGAGCAGGCAGCCGGGGCGTTGGCATCTCAGTCTCTAGAGGGTTCCACCACAAAGTGCTTATCAACCAGTGTTCTGCTCGTGTTAAGTATCATGAATTTCCCGTGTGCTACAGCCAGTACACGATGACGTAATGGTGAATGCAGTTAATTGAAGGAAAGAGTGATGCATGGCTTTAAATAGTCCTTTTGGAATGTCACAGTTAATGACATCATCAGCTGCTGAAAATAGGACTTGTTAATGCTGCTGTCATGTTCATTGAGAGCTTCTACTCAGAAATGAATGGATTTTAGTTGAAAACATTTCTTTGCTCTTTTTGTCAATACTCCAAAAGAAGCAGCTGCTAATGGTGCTTTAAGCCAAGATGACTTTCCAGCAATTGGTTCGGCAGCGGGACCTCTACAAGGGTAAGTATGTGCAAGGCTGCAGCAGTGAGAAAGCAGATTTAGAAACTTACTTATGTTCCTGCATTTCTGGAGCAAATCATTTTACAGATCACTTAAACTGCAAATGCTTCCCTTCTTCCTCGAGCTGTTTCTGTGCTAGTCACCTGCATGAACGGTGTGGGATGTTGCTTCGGTTCATGGCTTGATCTTTTGGTGGCGCAGCGTCAGGGAAATTCTCACTATTCTCCATTCCACCCATTTTTAACTTGATAGCTTATCTTGAAGGAGATGTAAACTGTGAGGTTTAAAATTCATCACCTGAAGTTGGTGTTGATTGGAATAGTGTCTTTGCGGGATGTGGCAGGTCGAATGCGCCTGCGCGTACAGCTCTGGTCAGGGTGGGCTGTACTGACACAGCGCCGGTGACACAGCAGGGCTGGTGTGACTTCTTTGAGCAGACCCAGAGCCAGTTTACAAGCCCGAGTGCATTTGCATCCCGTTGACAGTTGGGTCAGTTGTGCCACCCTCGGTGATAGTCCGAGGACAAGTGCAGGCAGGAACGGGGCTCGTTCTGCCTGTTGTGTAACGGGCTGTACTTTTCCTTTCTCCCAGCTCTGCCCAGCTAGCAGCGGTTAAGCTTAAAGAAGAAGATTTCCCAAGCTTGTCATCCTCTGCAGCACCCACCATCTCTTCTGGGATGCCTTTGACATACACAGCGACTGCAAAGAAAGCAGCTTTTCAGGAGGAGGATTTTCCGGCTCTGGTGTCCAAAATGAGGCCTAACAATAAAACGGTAACAAACATCACATCTGCGTGGAACAACGGTTCCAGTAAAAATGTGGTTAAAGCCATCAGCAACCCTTGTGTAAACCAGATAGCCAAAAAACCATCCTCCTTGAATAGCACTAAGGGAAGTAAGAAGAGCAATAAACTCTCTCTGTCAGACGATGAAGACAGTGGTAGTGGCTTGACGACCCAGGAGATCAGAAACACCCCAACGATGTTTGATGTATCGTCCTTGCTGGCAGCTTCTACCTCACAGACTTTCACAAAAGTGAGCAAGAAAAAGAAGGTGGGGGTTGAGAAGCAGAGACCGTCGTCCCCGCACCCGTCACAGGAGACATCCTTTCCCAGGGCATCGGCCGAAAAGCTGCCGGAAGCAGAGCAGACACCAAATGCACCCTCCGCTCTTCACGCCGCTGACAGATCCGCAGCGGTCATGAATGGTCATCTGGAAAAATCATTAGCCATCTGTAGCACACCCAAAGAGCCCCCTGGCCTTAAAAAGCCCACAGTGACTAACAAATGCCCTTTACCTCAGGAAGACTTCCCAGCTCTTGGGAGCTCAGGATCGGCTAGAATGCCCCCGCCACCAGGTAAGCGCGGCGGGGCAGGGCCAGCTTTGCTTGGAGGTAGCTCGGAGGAATGTGGCACGTGGCTGAGGTGCGTGAACTGCTCCTTCTGGCCCTCGTGCGAGGAGCGGTTCTGCCACCACGCGCTCGCTTTGGTGGCTTTGAAGTTGGGGGGAAAAAAAAAAAATTAAAAAAAAAAAAAAAAAAAATGCAAGTCGGGGTGACCTGGTTGGGCTTGAATGTCCTCTGTAGCTCACGGCTGAAGCGGTGCCGCTGGTGGGGTGTCGCTGCAGGTGTCTGGTCCCCGGGGGGGGGGGGGGGAGCTCAGAGAGGAGCAGCCTGTCTCTACCTGTCGCTGCTTTTCTGATGAGTCCCAGCCAACACATACCTGTGCTTTCCTGCTTTGAGATCCTGCTTGGAAGCCACTGCGGGCAGAGGGAATCCCCCTTTAGCTGTGACCTGTGCCCCGCCGGTACTTGTCACTTCTGTTGTGTTTGCAGAGATTTAACGCCCTTGCTTTTAGCGGTGCCGTGATCTTGTCAAACTGGAGTAACAAACGGGGCTTACAGCCCTTTTAACGAAGGCAGGATCGCATCAGGAGGTGCCTGCGTAGCTGTTTTGTTCTGCGCTGCTCTGCAGATACTGCTAGGTGGAGTCTGCTAGAACATGCCATGCCTAGTGCTGGTGTGAATTCTGGAGTGATTTCTGTTCACTTTAATAATGTAAAAGTGTTTTTCGTTGCAAATTTGAGTGGTTTTTAAAAACTATTTTCTACTGAAAACATAAATTAAAAATTAAAGCCCTTTCTCTCTAGAGTGTAACATCAGCTGCTGTGAAGTGCTACTTGACCTGACTGTTAAGGCAACAGATTTCCACCGAATTTTTAGAGTTTTTTCCAATATGGTGATGTCTGCACTGCTGGCTCGTGCTTCTGGAGAGTACCTCAGACCACTGGTGTTAATTTTAGTGGTATGTGGGTGCCACAGATACGTGCTCTAACTCCCTGCCCATTCTCTGCTTTCGTTTAGGCTTTAACACTGTGGTGCTATTAAAGAGTCCTCCTCCGCCTCCGGGACTGTCGGTGCCTGTTAGTAAACCCCCTCCAGGTTTTGCTGTTATTCCATCCACCAATATCTCTGAACCTGTCACTACGTCTTTGAAAGAGTAAGTAAAAGCCCTTTGAGTAGGGGATACTTCATACATTACATCTCAGTTATGTCATAGGGGCTTGGAAGGGCAGGTGCAGTACCCTGAGGGGATTATTCTGAATGGGGGCAGGTGTTTCACGGTTCCTGCCGGGGAGCCCCGTGGCCGTTGTGGGCTGGATTCAGGAGAGCTCTGTAAAGGAAAGCACAAGCGTCGTGTGGATGCAAGTCTGAGGCAATGAAATCCTCTGCAGCGTGGCAGCTCAGGCTTTTGTCTTTTCTCGATTCATTTGGAAATCTGCAGCTTCAGCAAACTTTTTAACCTTTGCGTTGATTCTGAGTCCCAGAAGCAAGGTGCTGAAGCGTGTTTTCCTTGGTGACCTCTAAGTGCCTTCATTGCTCTGACCTTCCCAGTATCTGGTCTCTGGCCGGGGCCCTCCTGGGCTGCAGAGATGAGTTTACAGGAAAAGGGGAGGGAAACATTTGTGTAAGTTTAATACAAACATCTGTATGAAGCTGTTTGGTTTTACTCATGGCGTGGTCTTTGAGTCTTTTTAGTGAGCCTAGCTTACAAAACAGCCAGTCAAGACTCTGTTAAACTGGCGTTTTAAACATTCTGTCTAGGTAAAGCTGGATTCTAGTACAGTAATCCCACGGGACAGATTCCATCGTCCTTTCAGGAAAGCTGCATGCTGCTCCTAGTAATCACACGTGTAGTTGGGTGGAGAAAGGGCGGGCACCCTGCAGAAGAGACCAGCCGTGTAATATACATCCCGCAGCATCCTTGTGTAACAGGAAGCAATGTCAAAGTCACTTCTGGTCTTTTGAAATGCAGGCCAAAATCCTGTCGCGGATCGTACTTGATACCTGAAAACTTTCAGCAAAGGAACATTCAGCTGATACAATCTATTAAAGAATTTCTTCAAAGCGATGAGTCCAAGTTCAATAAATTTAAAACTCATTCTGGGCAGTTCAGACAGGTGAGTGGGCAAAGCACCTTTGGATTCCTGAAGCCTTCCTCTCGGGGAGAAAGTGAATCACAGGAGGATTTTTTTATATATATATATGTTGGTGGTTTGTGTTTTTTTTTTTTTTCCTTACTATTCCAATTCTCTCTTCTCTGAAGGGTCTGATTTCTGCAGCACAGTACTACAAAAGCTGCCGAGAACTGCTTGGAGATAACTTCAAGAAAATTTTTAACGAGTTGTTGGTGTTGTTACCGGACACAGTTAAGCAACAAGAACTGCTTTCTGCTCACAACGATTTCAGAATCAAAGAAAAACAAAGCTCCAACAAACCCAAAAAGAACAAAAAGAATGTTTGGCAGAGGGACTCCAACTCCGACCTCGACTGCTGTATCTGCCCGACGTGTAAGCAAGTGCTGACTCAGCAGGACGTTGTCACCCATAAAGCTTTGCATATTGAGGACGAGGAGTTCCCTTCCTTACAAGCAATCAGCAGAATCATCAGTTAGCTTTCCCGAAGACCAATAAACCAGTCTGTCTCTCTCTGAATCGGCACTTTTTGGAAGGAGGTTTGGCTGTGTAGTGTGGCTGAGAGCCGGTGCCCGTGGAGGAGTCGGGGAGCTGTTGGAGCCCTCGGTGCTGTTCATAAATATTGTGCACGGGGCTCCCGGGACTGCGCCGTAGCTGACGAACAGCCAAAGTCTGAGCTTCCGAAACGCCTGAGTAGAATTAGGCTGAAGTTGCAGGGGGTGGGGGGGGTGGGGGGGGGGGCGGGCAGGGGCCACCTTTCTCCTGTACCATGCAATAGCTGAGAAAATACTTTCTGATCTGAAGACTGACAGGGGACACAATAGGGGAAGAAGCATCTGGTTTGGGTTTTTTCTTTCTTTTTTCAGGGGGTGGGGGAAGATACTGAACGGAAGCAAAAGTGGCTTCCCTTATAATATTCTGATTTTTTTTTTTTTTTTTTTTTGTGCTGTTTCTGTGACCACAAAGATCACAGTAGTCAGGGGTATAAAGGTGCAGAATAGGAAAAGATGCTACTCACTGGTGAGTAAAACAATTACAGCTGCGGGTCTGTAAACATCGGGCTGCTCCTACAGCAAATTCCTGTCTGAAAGCGGAATTAATTCTACTTGAAGAATTGGACTGATCAGTGCGATTAGTTGAACGTGAGATTTTGAAGTTGCCTCTGACCTTTTATGTAACATGTTCTTTAAAGAAACTTATTTTGTAGCACTGCATGTAGAATAGTAACGTTAAGGCTTTACTTTCCGTAAAGCACCCTTCACAGTCCTTTTATTTAATGACTGCCATGTTTCTAATTTCTTGGATGTGTTAATGGTGGGAGCTCTGGCCAACAGCATACCGGGACATTAAATGCTGCTGATCACTGACCGTGTTTCTCTGCAGTGCCTTTAAGTGCATTTCTCCGGTTACGGTGGGCTGCACTACCAAGGGTCATTTGTTCAGACTCTGTGGAGCGTTTGCCACCCGCGCCGGGTGGCGCAGCTTTGCCAAGGCCCCGCTCGCTCCCGCCTCGGCGACGAGGGGGGAATCTCTTCCTCGTTTGCAGCGACTCCCCCGGCGGAGGGACGGGAGGAATTCACGGCTGTGATTCAGCGTCTGAGTCTCTCCCGTCCCGCCCGACCAGGTTTAGTTATCTTTAACGTGGGGGGAATAAAGTCGAAATTAATTTATGTAATTTTTCGTGACAAACCGCTGCTTTTATAGAAGCATCATTTCTACGAGATAGAGCTCGGAGTGTTGCTGAAGAGCTAGTCCTGGCCACAGAAAGTTTCCCTTTTCTTAGGCTTCTTATTTTTGCTTGCTGTCAGGCTGCACCGTGCTTTTGTTGTTTTGTTTTTGTTTTTGTTTTTTTTTTTTTTTCTGACTAATTGAGGCTCTCCCATCACCTGAGCGTGTTGTATTCAGCACCGGGCCCAGGCTGCACCCCCTGCACACGGAGCTGGGGCGGGGGGGGATGAGGGGAGGATTATTTGCCCGTCCGGCTCTTTAGAAAACGCATGAAGACGTGACAAGTAGTGACGCTTGTGTGCTCCTGCTCCGGGGCGGGGTGCGAGGCCGCGCCGCTTCCCCTTTGCTGCCTCCCACCCCCCCGGCTGCTCCTCGCCCGGGCTCTGCTCGGGGACACGGGGCACCCGTTCTCTGCAGGAGTCTCTTACGTCTTCCCTCGACTCTCCGTTTCTTCTGGGTTAGCAGACACGTGGTTCCCACCGGGCGGGTGCCGCTCTAAAGTTTCCTCGAGGCGACCGATCTCTCTGGCCTGACGAGTGCAGTTTCCTTGTTCCTCGTGCTCACCTGATTCAATAAAGTATTACCAAATTTTGTTCAGGCCCCTTCTATTCATTTTTAACTCTTTATTGAAAATAAGTTGCAGTTGGTACACAGACACTGAAAATACATAATCACAGATTGTTCTCTCAAAAGAATTTTTTTTATATATATATATATATAATATATACAAAAGTTGTAAACATTTTTCACTTATTTCCATACACAGTCCACTTTATACTACAATGCACAGAAGGTTAGTGACAACTGCAACTCTTTGAAGCGATCTGCTCAGACAGAGGTATCTGCAAACACACTTCCATTTGCAAACCACATTTGGTACCGGTTTGATATTAAAACTCTGAAAGAATCTGAGGTTTGAATGCATATTGCAACCAAATCCAGGCAGCTGAACGTGGGTTTCAAGTTGGGAGAGCGAGGGCTCTTGCTGAGCCTCGCCGGGGGTGGGAGAGGGGCTTCTGGCACACGCAGCTTCCCCGCGCTGTCTGGAAAAGCACCGGGAATAAATAAACCCGAGCGGAACCAGCCCCCTCCGCGCTCCCCGACACACTGCGGGAAAACAAAGGCTGAGAGGAAGTCTGCAAATTTGTGTCTACAGTAGCTTTTAGCGAGAGAAATACCAATTCCACGGAAGCCACGGTGGGATTTGCTCACGACTAGCCGGTGTCGGCCCTTAGCTTCGTTTGGTTTAAGCGACCTCAGGGCTCCGGAGCCGGAGGCAGCCCTTCGCCGTTTGGGGGGGGCGGGTTGGGGAGAGGCAAGGGTAGGGGCTGCCCCTGTGAGGGGTTGCGGGTCGACGGGAGGAGAAAAAAAAAATGCCGCAGTTGTTGCTTGCTGTTGGGAGCGTGAACTGGTGGGGAAACTCATCGTACACCGTGTCCAGGCGGAACAGCCGGTGAGATCCCAACTGCGTGTGGACGTGATCTCATGGGGAAGGGTCTGCTCAAACTGCAGGAGAGACAGAAGCGTGTAACGGGGGGGGGGGGAAGATCTTTTTGCTAAGTATCAGCTAAGCGAAACTTCCATCTCACTAGGAATAGCTTCAAACGTCGGGGAAAAGATTCCGATTCTTTCAAATCTTTTAATATGCTTAAAATAAATCGGCAAACCCCCTGATGCGGGTAACTCCGGTGCTGAGATGTCGCTGTGTTGTCACAGCAGCCTCCCGGCGCGAGGCGGTTTGGCAGTAACTCATCCCCAGGACCGGGACAGGCTTGTTCGAGTTCCGTGTTCTGGCGCAGCCCTGCCCTCTGCGAGCTGGCGGCTGAGCTCGGGGAGAACAGGGCCGGGTCGGGGGGGGGGGAGGATTTGGGGGGGGGGAGGCGGCGCGGGGGCAGCCGAGGTCACGGCACGATTCGGGGACGTGGGCTGGGCGGTGACAAGGAAAAGCCACCAGTGCTGCGGTACCACAGCGAATGCACAGGGTGGGAAAAAGAAAAAAAAAAAAGCCGGAGAAAGCAGCAGGAAGGGTGACGTTACGTGTACTTGAACCCCAAATAATACGCCGCAGTTACGACACCGATGGCTCTAATTCTCTAACCGCAAGCCCGTAAGGTTGTACTCAGTTACAGTCCGTACCTGTCGGCATCAGTCCGCCTGACGAGTTGCCGGTGTGCTACGCCACTCAGCGCGCGGCACTGCCGACACCCAGCAGCTCGCGGGGACGCTGTGGGGTCTGGCGAGGGGGGTTCCACGCGCGGGGTAGGCGTCTCGCCCCGCCGCTGAGCTCAGGAGGAGCTACAGGGGCTTTTGGCAACGGCCTCGCCGGCCAGCCAGAAAATGGGGGTTGTTCAAGGCGGGCAAAGGCTCTGCCCAAGGCGTGTGTGGCTGGGGCGGTGCGGAACCGCGGGGAGCGCGGTTTGTCCCGTCCTACCTGGCTGACACCGCCTCGGCCGGGCGACTACGGACAGAAACCCATCATTATCACCTGGAAAAAAAAAATAAAAATAATAAAAAAAAAAATACAGCAGTTGCGGGCTGCCTGCCTGTACGGGCCGCCTGCCTCTGCCCGCAGAGCAGCCCCGGCGCCGCGAGGCAGAGCTGACCCGGCCCCGCGGCGCTGTCGGTGGCGGAGGGAGCGGGGCTGAGCCTCCTCGAGGTGCCTGTTGCGGCTGGACACGTTATTCCCAGCTCCGGTTTAATCAAGGAGCAAGCTGCTCTGCCTTCCCGCTGCCAGGAAGCCTCACGGGCATCCAAGGCCCTTCCTCCCTCTTCCTCCTCCTCCTCTCCTGCCAGGTCCTTACGCGCTCACCGGGCCGACTGCGAGTTCAAGGTAATATTGACTTGGGGGGGGGGGGGGGGGCTGTAAAAAGCTGCTGACCTCGAGAAGAACAACGGTGCCTCGGCCAGGGGCTGGGGTCGTGCTGGAGTCATCCCCGGGTCACCGTTGCTGCTCCGAAGGTCAGTCTGGGGGTGCAGGGGGTGTGTGTGGGGGGTCTGCGGGGGGGATCTGAGCGGGGGGGGTGTCTGCGTCCCTTCTGCATCCCGGGAGGGTGGGGAGGAAAGAAAGGCAACGCAGGCCTCGGTGTGTACATTCAGATGTTGTAATATTGAGCATGGTTACACCAGGGGTCAGGACGCGTCCCGCAGTCGGACAGAGCTTTAGTTCTTTACGGTTACAAGGAAACTCTGGAACAGTTATATAGTTAGAAAAAATACAATGTACTGAACAAACATTATCTCACATACAATCAATTTAAACATTTAAATTGATTATAATTTTGCTAAAATATTAACACAAGTACTGTTTGTGCTGCTAAAATTTCAGTGTTCCCTCTAAGGAAAATATTGCTACAGTTCTACCGTACCCTGTATTAAAATCCTTTGCTTTTTTTATTTTTTTTTTTTCTTCGATTTTTTTTAAACCCAGCAAGACCGACTCCAGAAAAATCACAAGGGTCCCGTAATTAATTTAGGCTTATACCGTGCCGGGGCCTGGCTGTCCCTGGCCTGCTTCACGCTGCTCAGCAAGCCCTGCTGGCGCCGGCCACCGGCAGACGCCCCTGGGCCACCTCCCTCCTCCTTGCTGCTGGCGTTAGCCAAGCGAGCGCCACCTCGGTAACGCAGCCCAGCAGCCTCCTGCTACGGATCCCCGACAGCGTTCGGCTCTCCGGTCGCCTGCAAAGGTGTCCAGGGGGGGGGAGAGCTGCCCCCGCTGCTGGGAAAACCCGTGCTGGGGCCGCCAGGTCTCACCTGCCCGGGGAGGCCGAGGGAAGCGTCCAAGTTGGGAAATGCTGCCCGAAAAATCCCCTCGCGGCTCCGGTGCCGTCAGGTGAGCGGAGGGGAGGGAGCGCCGAACGCACATTTAACCCGGCCGGGGTGTTGGGGGGGGGGGGGAGGCATTAATGCACTTTGTCACCGATAATGACTGCTCGTGGCGAGCTTCGCTGCTCGTGAACGGCTGCATTTATTTGCAACGTAGCAGCAGAAATGAGCTGCGTTAACGATGACAAAGAAAAAAAAAAAACAAAAACAAAAACAAAAAACCCCGCTGGATGTTTTTGCTACAAGGCGAGCTGGGGCAGTCCGGGACCTATTCCTTGTCACGAGGTCAGAAGGCAGCACGCAGCTTTTGCCGGCGTAAATTGGCAAAGCGAAACCCTTGCCGGGAAAGCCGGGGGCTTCTGAGGACGGAGCTGCCACTGAGGTGGTCAGGAATTCAAGTTTTAGCTCCTCCGCTTCGTCCTTAGTGACAAATAGCTCAGCTCAGAGCCACCGCGCAGGCAGACGGGCGGGGAAAGCAGGCAGGTTGCCGACAAGGATCTACTGGATTTTGCACGTTTAGCTGGTTTTGACAAGGCAGGGATTTTGCAGCTGAAAACCAACACTGAGCCGCTTTCCTGGATGTTTTTCCTTCGCTCTCTTCTCCCACTACTTGCAAACCCAGGGCCGGGAGCCCCCACGTGAGGGACTTCGACGCCCTGTGAAGTCTCTCCAATGCTCCGTCTCAATTCCTCATTTCTAGAGGCTGCAGGGGAAAACGCACGCTCGCACCTGAGGTTCTGCTGCAGCTGCTGACAGATGGTGGCTGCTCCCAGTAGAAAAATACAAGTTCAATTGCCACTTTTAATTGCCTTGGACTTTGAGTCACCGCGACACCCACCCCTTTTGTGTGTTGGCAGCTCCGGGTTTGAGCATGAGTAAATCTTCCGCGTTGCCAACCAGAAACTATTTGTAAATTTGCAAACTTTCCCGACCCCTCGGTGAAGAAGTGGAACTGCAACGCACCGTGTTTTCTGCTGATAATAAGCCTAGCCCTAATTAGCAGCCAACTATTGCTGAACTGGTTTCCAGTCTCAAACAGTAACTTTTTACATCCTCAACCAGAACCCCCTGGAAGCGTCAAGAGCCGTTTGGCTCATCAACGTAACCCCGACCCGCTGTGCCCCGCCACGCCGCTCGCATCCTAAGCTAAGTTTGAAACGCGTGTTTGGCTTTTTTTTTTCTTTTTTTTTTTTTTGTACAGTAAATATATACAAATAAAAGTAACACAGACACCACTTATTTCTTTGTGAATTTGGCACTTTCCATGGAACGTGTACAGGAAAGCTCTGCAGTGGGAGCAGCACGGGGGCCGACGGCCCCGGTGTCACCCACCCACCCTCTCGCCACCACGAGACCGATTCTGTGTTAGCTCTGGAAGAACGAGATAAATAGCAACTCCTCAGCTACTGTGTTTTCTAACAGGAAAAGGTATTCTGGGCTTTCCCAGGCGCTCAGCAGAGCCCAGCGCTTACTGCCCGGTGTCAAGCCTCAGAGAGGGCATTTTATTCATCTTCCGCCACGTGGAGGTGATGTGGTAGCAACCTTCCTTCCTTCTGACTTAGAGGGAACACTGCTTTTATAAAACCCTTGGACAGGTAAGACAAGAACCAATACCACTGTACAGAATTCACTGCACAACTAGCTAATAGTAAGGAACCCAGCACTGACTTGCCACATTAAGGAAATGGGACTGAATACATTTGCAATCAACCGGTTAAGTGTACTGCACCGTAGGACTCGGTCTCCCGGCACGCGGCCCTCGCCCCTCAGTACGCTGGCACTTGGTAACCTTTCGGGTTGGCGTCTAAGGTCTCGGTGAAGGGGGGGCTCTGGTAGGTCTCTGTGCTCTCGATGCCGCTGCCGGTGGGGTAGCCGGGGTACGCCGCGCTGGGCTCGGTGGCGAACTGGTCGGTGGCGAAAAGGGACATGTCGGTCCCCAGGCGGTACCTCTGCAGCGCCTTCACCGCCAGCGCGACCTGCCGCGGGGGGGGGGGGGGGGGGGGGGGGGGAAGGTTAGAGGGGGGATGGCAGCGCTGCGGCCGGGACCCCGCGGCCCCCCAGGACCCCGCGGCCCCCCAGGACTCTGAATCCCCCCAGGTCCTCACATCCCCCCAAAGACGCTGTGTCTCCCCGTGACCCTGCAGCCTCCCAGGACCCCACACCCCCCTGGGACCCTGCATCCCCCACAGGACCACGCATCCCCCCAGGACCCCGCGTCCCCCCAAGACCCTGAACCCCCCCAGGACCCCGCAGCCTCCCAGGACCCTGCATCTCCCCAAGGCCCTGAACGCCCCCAGGACCTCGCATCCCCACAAGACCCCACGTCCCCCTGGGTCCCTGCATCCCCCAGAAGGACTCCGCATCCCCCCCAAGGACCCCACATCCCCCCCAGGACCCCGCATCCCCCCCAAGGACCCCGCATCCCCCCCAGGACCCCGCATCCCCCCCAAGGACCCCACATCCCCCCCAGGACCCCGCATCCCCCCCAAGGACCCCACATCCCCCCCAGGACCCCGCATCCCCCCCCCCTCAGCTCCCTGCAAAGCACCGAGCGGCTGCTGGCCCCGCTCCGTTACAGCCGAGACCTAAAACAACCCCAAACCACAACCCCCGACTCTAAAGAAGCCATTTCTATGTGACAGGTTGACCCCCAAAACTCTCCCTGGGGTGGGGGGGTCGCAGCCTGGGCTCGGCTCCCCCAGCTTTGTGGATTTGGCACCGCTGGCACCAATAAACCCACCGGCTGCGGGGAGGGAAAGCTGCCGAGTCTCTGGCCAGTAAAATAGGTCAGTTCTGCCGAGACTCCTTCACCCCCTCCCAGGTTGCCAGTATTCAGGTCGCAAACCGTGGGAGATGCGGGCAGCAGAGCTGCGAGCGCACCACGCTCGCTCTTATTTCAGGAGGCTTCATTAACAATTCAATTAGTTTAGAAATGACAGGCTCGGGGAGGGGGTGGGGTGGGGGGGAAAAAAAAAACACCCACGGACCCCGAGAACAGCTTCCCAACCACCGGCCGGTGCCCACTCCCGGCCGGTGCCGGTGGGGCCGGCGCTGGTTGCGTGCCACGTCGCGATCCCGCCGAGCACCCGCGTTTGTTAACGGTACCAGTGGAGGGGCTGCTGGTGCGGCTGACCACCCTCCGTGCTGGTGGCACTGGTGTCCCCACTGCCCTCCCCAGGGTGGGAGCGGATGCTGATGGGACAGGGGGAAACATCCCACCCCCTGCCCATCCCCGGAGGCCGCATTAAACGGGCAGCCTGGCAATACGGCGATGGGGAGGAGCTGTGGGGGAGCTGGGATTAAATGAGATTTATTTGGATCATAATAGAGGGGGGAGCAGTTAAACTGGTGAGCAACTGGAGCCAGGCCGGCTACTGGAGCGCCTCAGCCTGGCTTTTGCCTCTGTTTTTTTAAGGCAATATGGAATTAGTGCACAACTTGGGTGCTCTCTGCCCATGAAGAGCCAGAGGCGGGGGGTGGCAGTGACACAGGGGCCATCCGTGCTTCTCCAAGCGCAGCCTCCAGAGCAGGAGCCCCCCGAGTGGAGCAGGGACCCCCAGGTACATGCGGAGGGGTCAAGGAGTTTTGCACACCCCTGGCAGCCGTCCCACTGTGCGGGACGGGCAGCAGAGGAGCCAGCCTGGCTTCCCCCAAGGGTGAGCTGATGAGCCCAAGAGCTCCCCAAATCCCCTCTGCCATCCCGTGAGACCACCTCGTCGCAACGATCTACTCCAGGGGACTCGTTCGCTTCCAACCAAGCCGCTCCCGGCGGGGGCTAACGAGGCCCCGAAACGAGGGCAGCTCGTGGCTTGGCGACACGTTTTCAACGGGAATGCAACCTGCCAGCCGCAGGAGAAGGGGAAGTCTGGAATTCCCCAGCGAGAGGGGACGGAGCTGATGCTTCCCGGGTAAGAAACCGCAAGTTTCATCTGTATTTGGAGGGACCGCAGGTTTCCTCAGTACAGCCCCTTGCTGCCCGTCAGGATTCACTTCTCCAAACCGTGCCCCAGATTCCTCCCCCCAGCTCAAGCGCTCAGCTCGGGGCAGGTTTCATTTCTCCTCTCCCCACCTTAGCTCCAAAGCTGAACTCACCCAGACGATGATGGAGAAGAAAGAGAAGGTGATTGCTGCCCGGGCAGCGTCTGCTCCTTGCGAAACCCCTTTGCTCATCGTCGTCCGTTGCCACTGGTTTGCTAGGAAGCAGAAGGCTACAAACCACAAGAAGGACAAGAAACCTGAAAGAGAACAGAGCTGGTCAGTGCTGCCCCTGCCCACCGCCACCTCCGCTGCAAGGACCCCTGTTTGCTGATGTACAAACACACTGCCATCAAGATTTTCAAATAGCAGCAGTGATCTTTGATGCCCTGGCCTGTGCTGTGGCCCAAACGGAGCTATTTTAAAAAAGGCTGATTTGCAATCGCCAAAAAAAAAAAAAAAACAGGGATGGGAGGAACCTCGAAGGGCCACCCTGCTTGCTGCCTCCCCGAAGTTCAGCTCACCCAGATCTCAACCTGATCTCAAAGACCTACAGGGACAGCACAGCCCGCTCCGCGCGAGCAAGGCCTCGCAGTCTGTGGGATTTCAGCCTGCTCGCTGGCACTAAGGTGCTACCAACTCGGTTCCAGCACCCCAGCGTGCCGACCCACCGTCCCCTGGACACCGCTGGCTCTCACGCTTCGGACTGGTTACTGCAAACCTCACCCAGGACGAAGCCCGCGCTCCCGGGAGCAGCACCAGGCTGCTCAGCTCATGCAGGAGACGGCTTCACAGCTATTCTGCGAGGGCCCAAGGACACAGCTGGAGAGCTTATAAAAAGGCAAGGAACGATCACCCAGGAATACGGACAGGCTGAGGTTAACCTCCGCTCCAAACACGAGTGACCCTGGGATGTCAGTGCATCCTCCCACGGGCGCAGCAAACGAGCAAGCGCTCGTCGTGCGCCGTGTGCCCAGGGCAGGGACGCGGCAGGGCTGCCCACGCCGGCTTCACGTGAGAGCTCTGCTCAGCCTGCCGCCCTCCGCGCACCACGCTCCTGCTCTCAGCCTCTCCGGGCTCTGCGGGATTGAGCAAAAACGCTCTGGTGATCATTCCTGCCTGGAATTAAAGCTGGCTGAGCAAGATAGGGCTGCAGCTCCTCTAATTCAATCACCAGCCAACAGCACTGCCCGGTGCCAAGGAGCTCAGAAAATAGACAAGAAGCAAGCCACGAGCGCCCAGTGTAAGGAGCAGTGATGCTTTCCAGCGCTGGGAAGCGGAGCTGCACAACCTGGAGCTTTCCACGATGCTGTTTTAAGGGGTCTCCAGTTTTCCTGAGAGTCCCCAGCACCCCCCCACACCCGCCGATTCTGGGTGTCAGCGCACGCGTGGACGCGGGGCACAGGCAGGCGGGGTGCTGAGCTACCCAGCACCTTCCCAAGGATCTGCAGCACGTCGGTACGAGCTGCCACACTGCCAGTCCCATGGGGCAGCCGGCTGCAAAGCACAGTCTGACTGCAGGGAGAGGAAAGAAGCTTCCTTTATTCTCCTTTATCTTGCCAGTTGTTCCCAAGTACGATACTAAATGCACGCGTGCATCCACATCCAGTGCCAGAGCTACAGGGCTCATCGCACACCTCGCCTTTAATTCAGAATTTGCTTCTAAATGTGGTTTAAGAAAACACACTCCTCGTCTCCTTCTCTTGCATGACTGGACCTGGGGCTTCCCAGCCAGCGATGCTTTTATCAGCTTGGCCGTGCCCAAGCCCTTGCACTGCCCTCACAGAAACACAACCTCCAGCCAGGATCACCCAGGCTTTCCTTTTCCGAATTATAGCTAACACAACAGCCCCTTTTTGCCGAATCTAGCTAACGCCTGCCACCAAAACCACTCCCAAATCTCTGCATATACATTTTCACTTTCTTTTAGGATGACCCCCCCCATCATCAGTGTTAAACAAGACCTCTGGGACTTATCCCTCAAAGGTCATCCTCAGGGACAGAGATGCTTTCTAGTTCCCCAGCTCTGCTATCACGGGGTGTCACCAGCAGCTGGCCCCAGTTAGGGCAGGCGGATCCAACCCTCAAATGTGAACACGGGAAGATACATTTGCTGCAGCTTGGACGACCCGTATGTGGTGGGTCGTGGTCCCCAGGTCTCAGTGCAGGAGATGCTGAACCGCATCTCCAGAGGCTGCGCTGCTGCAGCGCTCCCACCTCCGGGGACTTGGGGAGCAAACGCCACGGCAGAGGGAACACTGCCCCTCCCGTGCTCGAAGCCTCAGTGAGGAGTTTCTTGCTCAAAAATGCACTTTCCTGGAGCCAGCAGTGTTTGGAAGCCAAAAAAAGCAGGGATGAAATGGAAGAGCAGCTCCCAACAGGTTAATTCAGAGCTGCACTGTGGGGAGCAGAGGGATGCTCAGGGACAAGCTCTGGGGTCACGCAGCGCCGGCACCCAGGGACACGGGGGCTCAACAACGGGACGAGGCTGTGTCACCGGTTTACAGAGGGTGACTTTGTTCAGGGGGGATTTTTTCTGTGTTTAACACTCGATTCAGGGCAGCTCGTCCTGGGCAGGACACTCGGGCAGACGGGGCTGCCTGCTGACCAGCAGCACAGAGCCCTGGCTAGCGCTGGTGCCTTCTAAGGGTCTCCAAGAGTTAAAATGACATCATGCACATCTCCAAGCATACACCGGCTGCGCTGGGTATTGCAGCTACCGACTTCCTCTGCAACACCCAGACATGCGAGACGTTGACCTTCCCAGGGCTAAAACCATCCGCTCCTTCAGCCAGAAATGTCGAGCGGGGGGTCACTTCTGCTGCCACCCATGTGGGCTTCCCAGCGGTTTTGTGACGCACAGATGAGCCTTTCCCCTCCACATCCAGCTCTGCTGGGATCCCTGAGAAGAAGGAGGATTCCCTCCAGTGCCCTGGGGAAGCAGGAAGGCAGGTATCGCTGCCAACGGAGGAGAGGGGGTCAGCCAGAGCATCTCCAGAAACACCAGTCGGGCGTTGTTTGGAGGACTGACGCACACCTGCGTGTGAGACCAGACCTCCCAGGGAGCTCTCTGGGAACTATTTTTGTTCCTGCACCAGCGCTTATTTTCATGTGTGATCATGTTCACCTTCTGCTAGCACTCCTTCGAGACGAGACTTTGCCCCCAATAACGTGAATCAGACAGGCAGGATTGCAGCTGACTCCCCCCGACTCCGGGCACCTCACCGGGAGCACGGCACGGTCCCGCTCCCGCGTGCATTTGCAGCATCAGGTGTAAGCGGGTGTTTTGGAGGCGTCTGTTGTTACCCACAAATTTTAAAACCTCATGAAGAGGGCTGAGCTGGCAGTGGCGTGGAGAGGCTACGTGTGCCGGTCCCAGCTCCGGCTGGAAACAGGCACCCTTCCAGCACCCTGGGGGCAAGGAGAACACCAGGGAGCACCGCAGGACCCAGTCGATAATTATCATTTTAGGATCTACAGACAACAGAGTGCAAACACCAGGAAAGATGTGTTACAGCCATAATTACAGCCTGGTCCCAAGCAAGTGCACGTCTATGGGAGCAGCTGTAAGAGCAGATGGAAGAGAAAGTCGTAAATGCTGTTTGCACAGCGTGGTGGCCCTGCCTGCACCCCTGCCTGCGCCCCAGCATTACCTCCCAGCCGGCTCGGTGGCTCTGCTCTGCCACCGATCCGAGGCACAAGTCCTCTTTCCTGCAAGTGAAAGGAAGCGTGGGTTAACGCCTTCATTAACTCCCCCCGCAGCCTCCACTGACAGCGACTGCCAGCTGACATCTGCTTCGCTGGCAGCCAGCATCAGGCTCCTGGGTGACCGGGGCAAAGGGCCAGAAAAGACCTGCTTTTGTCATCCACCCCCCCACCCCACCCCACACACACACCACCCGGTTTGCAAAGCTCCTCGTGCCCCAGCACGTTCCTCACCCACTTATTTCCCAGATGTGTTTTTTTAGCTTTTATACCAGGCAATAATGCAGACATCACATATGGAAAGAAAGGATGAAATAGTTACAAGGAAGCAGGAGGAAACCACGCACCCCGTCCCTGGTGGGGAGGGAAAAAGGGGAGGCAGCGTCAGAGGGTCCCACAGAGGAAGTCTCCAGGGGTTATTAATGGAGAGGTAGTTAAAAAAAGGCAAATCCCACGGGTCAGCTCTGCCCCCTGGCAGGTTGGGTGCCCGAGGCTGGCGGGAGCAGTGCAGGGGGGTACGGCGAGCTGCGATCTCTGCAGCTGTGGAGGCTTCACGTGCCAACGCAACCCTGCACCTCATCTCTGCCGCAGGATCCGCCTGTGTCAACGCTTATTCTGGGAGCAACCGGCTGCCTGGCGTTTCCGTGTGAGTGGGTGTGCTGGCGGTGGCTGTAGGGCTGTAAGGAAGGTTTGGGGCAGCCGTAATTTTAGAAAAGTGAAGGCACAACAATGAAATAAAATACACTGATCAATTCCTCCTGCCGGAGCCCAGGGACACGCACCCTCCCCTGCGAGCCGACGGGGCAACTGCACGTCAGCAGCTTTGCAGACCCCGATAGGTGACAGTGTCGGTCACAGGCTCGCATCCACATGATCTGCATGTGATTTGTTTTACCAGCAAGGAAGCGGCTTGCCTGTTTTCTACCAAGAAGGAATGGCCCGAGGGAGCAGGACACATCTGCCCAGACACAGGCTAATGACATGATGCACCCGGAGCACAAACATCGACCCAGGGCGATGCCGGGGTAATAAAATGTCACCGCTGGCAGCACACCTGCGTTGGGTGGATTTACCAGCGCAGAGCTCTGGTGCAATCCAGCAGCCTGTCCCCAGGGCAGAGCACAACCCCTGCACGGCAGAAGCTTTGCAGGGCAGAACCTGTGTTCTCCCGCTCGCTGCTGAAGCCCGTGAACGCGCACGCGATGCGTGACAAGTGCAGAAGAGGAATGAGGCAGAGATTGAGCACGGTACCGTTTCACACATGCCTGGCAGGGGAGGGAACGGCTGTCACCAGGTGGAAGGCAGGGAGGATCATAGCCTCGTACCCTGAGACGCAGCATCAGCCAGAAGATGGATGTGACATTCCCCTTCTGCTTGAATCGAAGGGTTGCAGGCACCAAGCCCCACGGAAGGGGCTGTAAATATCGTTTAACAAGGGCTGGATGCTGGTGCTCTAGCACCATGTGAATAAGCTTTCCAGCAAGGAGGGAAAATCCTTAAAAACAAGCGAGTGCAGGGAGGTGATGACAGATGTTTTCATTTTGGACCAGAGAGCCATCAGCGACGCTTGTGCTGGATAAATCACCTTCTGACTTTGCTAACACAAGAGCCTGGAAATGGAGAACATCAGCTGCCAATTCAGCTGGGCAACTCCCACAGCAGCCGAGCGGAGGACGGCCTCTCCCAGTCAAGGCATCCCACCCGCTCGTGTTTGCACGGATGAGCCCCAGGGCAGGGGGCTCAAGATGGTGCAGAAGATCTGTGCCAGCCCTTGGGAGCCCCAGACCCACCTGCACACCGCAGTCCGGGAGGCAGCAGGGGATTACAGTGGTGTGTAGAAGCGTGTTGCTGCTTTGTTCCAAAACACACATGCACAAAGTGGAAACAGGCCCAGATGTAACTGATGAAACAGCGTTTGCTTGAGCCAAAACCGGGAGGTGTGGGAGGGTAAAACGCCCTGTCTGAGATGCAACCACCAAGCCTCGCTTCTCTCGGTGGCCTCACCAAACCCAGCTCAGCAAATGCCTCCATTTGCAGAAGCGACACAGGCGAGTGGGCCACCCCGCTGTCCCCAAGCCACCACACACCAGCTTCCTCGCTGCTGCCTCTGAACTCACAACTGGATGGGACAACCCATCCGCTGCCCCTGCCCTCCCCGACTGAGGCACACGAGTCGTGCCACGCCGTGGGAGGAGAGGGGAGGACTCACGCGTGGAGCTGCAGGGCACAGCATCGACCCTGAGCCGCCCACGGAGCCAGCACCGTCCTTTGCAAGCACAGCAAAGCCAGAGACGTACCTGAAAAGCCGAGGTCCAGCAGGACGGCCCGTTTGCGGTCCTTCACACTGCTGATCTGCTGGAAGTAGAGGTCCACGACAAAAAAGAAGATACAGCCAAAGAAGGCAATGATGCCAACGGCGATGCCGTAGCTGCAGGCACTCTCATTCTCATTGAAGATGCAGAGCAGCTCGGGGTTCTGGCTGTCCTTGTTCACGTAGCACTCGTTCACGATGGAGCCAAACACCACGATGGAGAAGATCTGCAGAAGGAAGGAGAAAACACCACTTGCTGCTGTTTACATTTAACTCTGTTTTCCAACAGCAACGTAATCGGATTCAATCCTGTCTTTGATTCCATGGCAACACGGCATTTGTTAGACAGATCCTGACTCTTGCCTGGTTGGTGGCCCCAGGCAATGGGCTGCTGGATGGTACCTAGGTCCTCCTTTGCTGAGAGCCAGTCTGCCTTTCAGTGGCTTGGTTTGCAGAGTGTTTTAAGAGATGTTATTCTCCGGTCAGGCTAAGGAGGGAAAAAATAAATAGATGGGCCAGGTCTCTGCACAGTCTTTCTGCTCATGCTGCTCTTCACTGTCAGGCTGTGCTCGACAAACCCCCTTGTGTCACCGAGGAGCAAGGAGAAATGAAGTTACAGCGGATAATTGAGTTGCTGAGCAGGCTGACCCAGGGAAGGGCTGGATGCCCGGTGGAGGGGGGACGGGACCTGGCAGTGTGGGGAGCAGCTCACCTGGGTGCAGAGAGGCAGGGGGACAGGCTGCCCTGTAGATGACAGGGCAATTTTTCGCCTGGCTTAGCAGGGGTTGAAGGATGCAGCATCCGCATCCATCATCCAGTGACCTGGTTTCGGCCCTCTGAGGGAGAAAAGGGCAAGGGGTTTGCAGGTGGCTGCCCAGGTCCCACTGCTGGGGCCTGGGGGTGTTTCATGTCCCTGCAGGCAGGGAAGGAGCTGGATGGCAGCACGCAGACGGCTGCCTAAATTAATAGCACTCACGATGCTGCGTTCACCTCTAAAGTAATTCCTTTATCCCTCCAACATCAAAGGCAGCAAGTGGAAGCCACGGGACCAGCTGCATTACAATTCACTCTGGAACCTGCTCCGTCAGAGCCTAGAAAGCGCTGCACCACCGTTTGGGTTTGAAGGCTGCGAGCAGGGAGGGAAGCGAGGCGTGCAGACACCCTTCCATCAAGCTGTGAACCTCTGATCTCATCCCTCGCTGCCAGCACGGGCTCCCCGCATCCTCCCCAGCCCCACCAGCTCGCAGGACACAGCTGGAGGCTGTGTCTGCAGGCGAAGAGATAAGAGGCTCCTCCAGCACATCCCGGCGTGGCGGCTGCCTGGGAGCAGCCGGGGTAGGGTGCAGCTCCCGCTCCGGGTGCTCTGCTACACCTTCTGCAGTAACAGCACGACACGAAGTGCACGAGAGCAAGGCAGGAGACAGACAGAGGTGGCAGCCGAAAAGCCACGTGACAGACGGCATTTGGTGGCCTTTGCAAAGTCACCTGTGTCTCACGGCTGATTCCCGGCCGTGGGCCACCTCCTGCAGCCCCGTGCTCCCCGAAGAGCGGCGTCAGCGGAGCTGGGTGGAACGGAGCAGAAGCCACTACGAGCAAACCATTCGGTAACCTCTAACCACTCTTTAACACAACACTGTGACAGGCATTTTTTCTCAAGCACTGGCCAAACGTCTCACTCCTGCCTGCCCCAAAGGATTCCGTTCGGATTTCTCTCCTCCAAACTCCTTCCAGTGCTGGAGCGAAGCTGAGCCAGAGCTTCATCTATCTGAAGCTACTACCAGTGCAAGTGGCCCGTTAGCAAACATGTCTCAGATCGTCTCCACCAAGTCTCGTCCAAACTGGAGAACAAAGAAATGGATCTGCAAGGGACTGAACTACTGAAATGTGAAGGGATCAGTGAGGGATTATTTTTTTTCTCTGTAGGGTGTCATCTGAAATACATGACGAGCAGAAGCAGAGTCTCTGGAGTACATCCTACCTCGGGTGTGCAGGAGCTCCTGCATGCAGCTACCCCAGCACCCCCAAGCCTGGGACTTTGCCACCAGCTTCTCATGCTGATATCTGCAAGCACGTGATGGACGAGCAGGGTGCACCATGCTCACTCCCGCCTCCAGAAACCCGCCAGCAGGACAACCGAGGGCAGGGTTCATCTTTAAACCCTTTTAGCCAGGCGCTCTTCTAGTGACAGCAGACTCCTGTTACTTCTAACACTTAAAATTCAGGCCACCAAAACACCTCGTGTACCTCCCACCACTGCCCTTAGACCCTCACCAGCCCTGCGCTGGCCCCTTCCCCACCACGGCCCGCTTGGCCGAGGGGATCAGCATCTCCATCCCGGCAGAGGCGAGGGCACATCCCTGTCCGTGCGACGGGCGGGACTGGGTTTCAGCCCTGGCAATGCTCCCCACCCCCAGAAATCAGCTCATTCTTCAACAACGCCCTCCTAGAAACGTGGGTCCTGTCCTCCATCCATCCCCGGCTCGTCTCAGCTCTGACCACCAGCCACAAGCTCGACAGCAACCCGAGTCTCCCGCGTGCATTTGCACCCTCTTCCTCGCTGGCGCGGCACTTAGGGAGCGCTCGGCCGCCACACCGCGACGGGCACATCATCATCATGCAAAGAACAAGAGGGCTGCATTGTAAGAAAGAAACAACAGCAAACAGTAATAATAATTTTCCCAGTGCTTTGGCAGCAGCTGTAATATCAGCAGTTGTAAAAATCTGTTCATAAATAATGCAAAATTGTTATTTACCATCAGAAATAGCAGCAGCATTTATAAAACAGGCCCTGGAAGAAATAATGTGATTCTGGAAAACATGAATAATTGAGAACCTCTGATTCCATGGGATTATTTCTCTGGCAGGCCTGCGAACTCATACGCTGCTTCTCCGATAAGTGTTTTACTTAGTCCTCCCAGGATTAACAACCTGGGCTACTTCTCTGTGCTTTTGGGTGCCAGTTTCAGTGGGTGAGGGAGGGCTCCCGTAAATATGATGAAGGATGTTAGAGGACAGGGTGCCTAGCTGCTGCAAGGCAGGTTTGCACACCTGGGGCTGGCAACAGAGGATGCCCAGGGAGCGCTTCTGGGATGGCTAAATGGGAAAAAAAAAAAAAAAAAAACAAACAAACCAAAAAACAGATGTTTCCCTATTTAACTTCAAACTCCAGAGGGTTTTGCAAAGCTAAGCATCCTTCTTGCTGCTGGCCAACCTGAGCGGCTCAGCTGAAACCCCCTCGACGGGGCGCTTCGTTTCGGCGCAGGCAACATGGGACACGCAGCTTCTTCTCGGGAAGGCCAAAACAGTAATGAAGTGCAAGAGAACACATTTGATAGACGCGCTCAAAACATCAGCGCTGGCTGAAATACTCCTGTCAAAACACGCTTTTCAGTGAAAACAAGTCATTCCATGGATTTTCGCTCCCTCCCCCCATGATTGAAATTTTATAGGTTTTCTTAAAAAAACAAAAGTGGTGCTGGTAAAATATTTTAATGAGAATAGATTTGGTGTTGTCTTTCTAAGTATAGATGAAAAAAAAAAAATGAGAAAATGTGGGTAGATGGGGGAAAATAAAACCCATACAATTTTTTTAAAAGTTCATGCAAGACAAGTGCCATTTTCCAATCCCCTCTACAAACCGCACTTGCTCAAACCCACAACCAGTTCATCAGAGGCTTGACAGCAAAAATACAAGGTCAGATTTTCCACTGTGGGTGAGATTTTAGGGGTCTGAGCGAGGAAGCGGGAATCCTGCTCTCCAGAGTCACTCCTCTGACTCCCACCTCCTCCTGCCCGTCAGGTTGGTCCCCGAAGCTGCAGTCCCTGTCACCAGCCACGGCAGCGACAGCGCTCGGGACCAAGTGCAAGGTCACTGGCAGGCACGGAACAGGGGCATCTGCTGTGTGAGCTGCTGCATCCCAAGCCCGGCCACCCTTCTACCCGGGCTCTTCCGTATCTCCCAGGCTTTGCGAAGGAGCCTCAGCATTCCCAGGACTCTCCATTTTCCAGCTGAGCAACCCAAACAAATTTCACTCCCGCTGTGTCAACCGGTGCAAGACCCGGTAAGAAAACTGGATTACCTCCAGCCACCCCAGTATGAAATAGTATCCCGTCTGCCAAAGTTTTTTGCATAAATCAGCTTGCAGCCCAGGGTCTCCTGGCCAGAAGCCTGGCGTGGGCTGCTCAGCCCTGACTCTCCCCCGTGTCGGAGAGCGGCTGGGAGCCCGCGGCACACGGCTCTTCAGCTGCGGGGATGGATGGCAAGGAGGAAAGCTGTCTTCTCCCATCCTTTCCATTAAGACTTGCACTTCAGCCACACAAAGGAGCTTCTGTGCCTCAGTCACACCCTGCGAGGGAGAACAACGCCGGGCAGGGAGATGCATGAAGTGCTTGGACCCACGATGACGGGGATTCAGCTGCTAGTGCAAGTGCAAGGGGAGCTCGTGTTACACCAAACCAGCGAGAAGCCAGGGATCTCGCCTCTTAATGAAAGCCAGCTGCCCAGTTCCCCCAGTTTAAGGTTTGCTTCCAAGCAAGAGGGGCCACCTCACCAGCCCAACGAGCATTTCTGCACCACAGGACAAAGGGATGGGTCTCGGCAGCGATCGGTGACAGGGTCTGGGTACGCCAGTCACAACGGACTCTGAAAAACGGCTGGTGCAAAGCCGAGACCAGAGGGGTTTTGAGTATCACCTTAAAAACCTGGGAGAGCACCCCAGGGACGCTGTTTATGTGAGGCTGGAGGCGTCTGGGCAGCAGCCTGCAGTTCCAGGGTTGGCTTTGGTATCCAAAGTACTGGACCCAGATGCACATCTCGCCCGCTTTCCTTGCTTGCTGCCGACCTCCCATTTTCCCCACTCACCCTATTTTAGGCTAGACCTCTTGCCTCTTTTGCCCTCTCTGGCCTCAGCTGTTAGGGGCAGGAGACTGTGACCGAGTGCCAGGTGCCCCGTGCTGGTGGATGTCCCAGCAGGGGCTGTGCTGGAAGGACTGGGAGGTAATGACACACAGCGGGCAGGCTGCTAGCCGCACGGCCATGCAGGCAGCCCTACAGCAGGAGATGGAGTGAAATCTCATTTTTTCCCCCAAAAAAAAGGAAAGGGGGAGCCTGAGAGGGCAGGTTCCGGGCACTCGCAGCCAGGTTGCTGGACCCCCAGCTACTGTCAGACCCTTGCAGGAACCCAGGGCGCTGGGGATGCCTGTGTGCCCCATGATGGAGACACCATTT